ATCATATTTGTTGTTGAGGACATGTCTAGTATTCTCAATTGGGCTGTACTAAGGTGTATATCATTCTGGGTAAAGTCTCTTTACAGTCCAACTGATGTATAGCAATTAAATATATAATTAATTAATTAATTTTTAATTTTTTTAAAAAAAACGAGCACACACACACAAAAAACTATTATAACCTATTTAATGACTGCAAAAAGCTATATACCCCCAGGTAGCTGCTACTTTATAGTATATTCACTTTACTCCCTGAGGTTTACACCTAAAGTCAGATATGTGTTCATAGTTATGTATATATCAGCTGTGCTTGCTATTGAAAGTTTTTATATTAATTAACATTTTAGTGAATCAATGAAATGTGAAAAAAAGAAGGCATGGAAAACAACTGTAGATACCAGAGATAGTGTGGGAGGAGGGAGGAGAATGGCAGAGGGTGAGAGGTATGGAATCAAGGGCAACAAAAAGCAAAATTCATAAGAAACAAGAAATAGGTCATTGGAACCAGCAGTTGGCATACTGTATTGATGTACAGTGAATGAATGGATATAAATTTAAATAAATAAACAGATAATTGCAGAAATGCAACTCAAAATCATCTTACTGCAAACAATCAAACAAACAAATATAGAAAACAAAAATAACAAATGCCTGCAGGGCTATGGAGAAAGGCCTCTTGCACATTATTGGTAGGAGTACAGATTAGTACAGTCGTTATGGAAAACAGTATGGCTCTTCCTAAAAAATGAAATTGCTTTACAATCCAGTTACTCTACTACTTGATATATACCTTCAGTGCTCCCCCAGAAAAAGAGGGAATTAATATTTCAGAGATATATCTGTACTTTCATTTCTATTGCAATTTTTTTTTTTTTGGAAAGGTTTTTGCCATAGGGCACATACGCTCGCCAGACAGAGAGACAGAAAGCGAGAAATCATCCCACAGAGGGGATGGTCACACTGCAATCTCTTCTCTTTCATTCTCCTCTTGAGATCTTGGGCACACACGCACATGCACCCAGTGTATGTTTCAAGCCACTGGGTCCAGGACGCAAACAGCGGTCGACTGCATGGGAATCCAGCGACATAGCCATTACACTAACTGCTGGTCCCATTACTTGTGCAATATTGTTCACAGTAGCTAAGATATACAATCAACCTAAGTGCACAACAACTGATGGATGGATAAAAAGATGTATAAATACGCAATAAAGTATTATTATTCAGTCATCAGAAAAAAATGACATTCTGTCATTTGAGGCAAAAAGGATGAATCTGGAAGAAATATCGCTAAGGATGGATAGGTCTTACTCTGAAAGTCAAATATTTAACACATGTCCTAACTATTTAGTGGAAGCTAAAATATGTAGTTTGTTGGATACAACAGTGCATGTAAGTAGAATTGATTATAGAATACTAAAGAATAACAGCATAAAGACAGTAAGAATTTGGGGCCAGCAGGTGGTGTAGTAGTTAAGGTACTGGACTCCCACATGGCTGACCATGGTTCCCTCTCAGTATTTCTCTCTTTCTCTCTCCAGCAAGCACACATGGTCTGTGGCAAAAAAACTTTTAAAAAAATGTGGAATCCTATATGTATCTAAAAATAACCAGAAGAACATATTTCAAATGTGCACAACTCAAAGTAATGCTAAATGTTGGAAATTATGAAAATGTTTATTTCCCTGATTTGATTATTACACGTTATATATACGTTTTGAAAACCCACAATAAATCCCACAAAAATATACAACTATTATATGTAAATTGAATATTGTAATAAAACTATTACTAAAAATAAATTTAGAATACTATGCAATAATTTTACATACATTAAAGATAATATGAAAGCAGAAAATCATCCAAATCAATCTGGGAAGACAATTAAGGTTGGTTAAGAAAGTTACAGCTTTTCTATGTCCTCTATAACTAGTCAGGGTTAGCTATATACATAAAGTTGGGATAAGAATTTGAGAAAAAAATACAGCAAATATAAAAGTCAAAGATAAAAAATATAATGACACTTTCAGGAACTTATGAGAATATCAAGAACCCAATTGAGGAAAGTTTTTTGTGCTGACCTGAGAAGTTTGACATTTTTATTATAAAATTTGTTGGTTTCCATAAAAAAAATTATAAACACAGAAGTGATAAGCTTCTCATTTTAGGAATAGCTCTCTAGGTGATTGTGTAAACTGTCTTAGAAGGGATAAGACAAGAAAGGGATCCTGTTGGGAGGATTTGCAAAATTTCAAACACAAGAATTAACAAGGGCCTAATCTAAAAGGTTATCGGTAAGGGTACCATAAAGAGAAAGTAAACAGGATATGATTCAGAGGTAAAGGGCCTAGGAAGACTTTCTGCTTGGGACACAGATAAGGTTTTATATGACAGGCTTAATAAAAGAAAGATATGCGAGAAAAGATGATAAATTTGTTGAGTTTTAGGTATGAGTTGATATCTATAAGGTGATTTCTGGTACTCTTTTTTTTAAAAAAAAATGTATGTCACACACACACAATTTATGGATTCAGTTTTGTTACTAGTTACATGGTCATTTAAATTATTTATTTCTTGAGGCCAGCAGATGGTGTAGTAGTTACATCACTGAATTCCCACATGGTCAATTGCAGTTCAAGTCCCAAAAGTGCTGGCTTGGAAATCACATGACACGCATGTGCATACATGCCCAAGATCTGGGAGGAGAATGGAAGAGACGGGGGATAATTTTTCAGTTTCCCTCTCATTGTCTGTATCTTTCTGTCTCTCCAATGAGTCCATGTGCCCTTACGGAAAAAAACTCTAAAAAACTTATTTCCCATTGTGTGAGTTGTAGTAGCTCACAGTGTTTGAGGAAGTGGTTACTTTCATCTAGTTATCATATATGTGTATAGAACTATTTGAAATATTTTTTTCCCATTTGTTTGATGTCAACAGAGTCTGTAATAATACGTCCTATTTTGTTGGTGATAATAGGATAGTAATCTGTGCCTTCCCTTTTTCCTTTGTTAGTCTTGCTAGCAGTTTACTAATTGTATTGATATTTTCAGAGAACCAGCTATTTCATTGATTTTCTTTATTATTTTCCTGTGTTCAATTACATATTGACTTCTGGTTTTGTTTTGTTTTGTTTTGTTTTCCCTTTCTGATTACTTTGAGCTTTTTTAGTTTTTATTCTTCTAGTTTCTTGGAGAGTGGGAGACTAAGATGATTTATTCGAAAGACTCCTTTTCCTGTGATATATACATTTAATTCTTTTAATTTTCCTCTCAGCACTGCCTTACCTGTGTTCACATATTTGAATATTTAAATTTTCACATAGTTTTTTGTTTTTTTTTTTTTTTTTTAAGAAAAATTTCTGGTACGGTTTCTGCAGGGTAAATGCACTCACCAGAGAGAGACAGAGACAGAAAGTGAGAAATCACCCCCTGGAGGGGTGACCACATCACAATACCTTCTCTTCCATTCTCCTCTTGGGATTTTAAAAATGCACACACACTCGCCCAGAGGAGTGAGTCTAAAGCCACTGTGTCTGGACTTGAACAGCCGTCGACTACATGGGAGTCCAGCAACAGAGCCATTACACCATTTGTTGGTCTCTCGTTTAGTTTTATATACTTTTTAATTTTCTCTTCAGGCTTCCTCTTTGACCCATTACTTGTTTTGAAAAGTGTTGTTTATTTTCCAAGTATGTGTAGATTCTTCTGTAATCTTTCTGTTACTGAATTCTAGTTGTGGTTGAAGAATACATTCTGTATAATTTTGAGTCTTTCAGATTTGTTAAGATTTGTCTTATGATCCAGGATTTGCTTTATCATCATATATGTTCCATAGATATTTACAAAAAGAAATATATTCTGCTGTTGTTGGACAGAGTGGTCTATTGGGTTTTTGGAAGTTATGACGTTTTTTTCTGTTTTTCTATGCAAAAATGAGTCATGACTTTTCCTACAACACAATATGAATGTCTATTAAATCCTGTTAGTTGATGATATTATAGAGTTATTTTCTATCCTTACCGATTTTATGTCTAGTTTTATCATCAATTGTGGAAGAAGAGTGTTAATACTCTAATTGTGGATTTTTCTAGGTCCCTTTTCTGTTTTTCCTTCATGTATTTTGCAGCTTTGTGTTTGTTGCATACACATATAGGACTGCTATAACTTCCTGATGGATTAATTAATTTTTTTCTTTTTATATAATGTTCCTCTATCTCTCTAGTTAGTTTCTGTGCCATCAAGTCTATATTATCTGATATTAAAATAGGCATTTCTGCTTTTCTTTGGTTATTTTTTTCATGTTATATCACCTTTCATTTTTTTTTGTTTATTTTTGTTTTTGGAGAGATTTTAGCTATAGGGCGTGTGCACTCACCAGACAAGACAGAAAGAGACATAGAGACAGAAAGCAAGAAATCACCCCCCAGGGGGGATGGTCATGCCGCAGTCCCTTCTCCTCCATTCTCCTCTCGGGATCTTGGGCACGCACACCCACACGCCTGGTGTGAGTTTTAAGCCACTGGGTCCAGGACACGAACCACGGTCGACTACATGGGAGTCCAACGACATAGCCATTACGCTAACTGCTGGTTCCCACCTTTCATTTTTTTAATATTCAACGTATGTCATTATAGTTAAATGAATTGCCTCTAGACAGTATATATTTGAGTCATGCTTTCATAATTCACTCTTCCAATCTCTGTATTCTAAGTAGTACATATGGACATTATATTTAACTTAGTTGTTGATGTGAGAGATTAAGTCTATCATATTTTTTTACTGCATATACTTCATTTTTTTCAGTTCTCTGTTTTCCTACTTTTTATGGATTATTTAAACAAAGTTTAAATTCCACTTTGATTTATCTATGTTTTATTTCAGTGACTCTCTTTGTTTAATAGCTTTATTAGTGGTCACTCCAGCTACTACAACTTGTATATATGACTTATACAGTCCACTGTGTCATGATCTTAATTGTCCAAGTGAATATAAAAACCTTACCTTAAGACCAGCCTAAGGTCTGATGACCAAGTGATTCCACATGGTTGACAGTGCAGTTCAAGTCCTGGACCCAGTGACTTGAAAAATATGTAGGGCAAGTGTGCACTTGTGCCCCAAATCCCCAAATTAGGAGGAAAAGCAGAAGGGATTGTGACATAACAATTCTTCATTGGGGGTACTTTATCACTTTCTGTCTCCTTTTCTGTTTCTTTCTCTGGCTCTCTTTTGCCAGTGCCTACCTCCTCTGGCAAATTTAAAATAAATAAATAAATAACAATTAAACCTTAAATTATTTTGATTTACTTTCACCATGTATATTATAATTATTGTAAATATTTTTTCTATATACACTTAGAACCATTATCATGATAGTTTTATAATTTTTGCTTTCATCATCAGATATAATATGGAAACTCAAGAAGGAAAAAAAAATCCATATTGAATCTACCTGTGTTTTTGCTTATCACATTTTTCCCCTGCTCTTCCAAGGTTCCTTCTTCTATCATTTGTTTCTGTGGATGAGAGAAACTAGGCAGTGCAATTTGCAATGTCAACCCCCCACAGTACAAACCAGAGCACAAAAGAGTGGGAAAACAATCTAAGAGCTAAGGTCAAATGATCAGTATAATCTGTCCTTTTCTTCTCTATGAGAATACTGGAAAAGAGCATACCAAGGACCTATCATGCAATAATATAATTTACTATTAATTTTGTCTTTTGAATATGCTTAATTTTCCTAAATTTACCCTATCTTAATTTTAAAATTAAAATAAAATCATCTATTGTTTTTGAACTTTATGGAAGGAAGAGAAAAATATGTATTTATACTGAATGAAGGAAAGAAATAGAGAGAGAGAAGGATCTAGTTGAACGGACTAAGAGAAAGTCACATTAAGATGTAAAAAATATGAAAAGGTATTAGTGTTTATCGCTGTAATGAAGTAGAAGACAATTGACTAATAGTAGGTATTTGAAAACTTCAAATGCTCAGAAATTTCAATTTGTGACTTTCATGAGAGCATTTGTTACAAGATGAAGAATAAACATGAGGTGAGGCAATTAGGAAAGTCAAGCCAGAACTGAGGTATATCTTCAAGAAGCTTGGATTAAAAAAAAAAAAAAAAAAAAAAAAGCAGAGTCATATTTTTGTCACAGGCCAATGGTCAAAGAGGGTATTTTATTATTTTTTAACTTATTTGTAGTCTGAAAATATTTATACATGAAGCCAAAAGAGCCAGTAGCAATGAGAATAAGATGTACAAGAAAAAAGAAAACTTGTAGGAAAAAACTTGAAATAGTTTTGCCTTTTGAGAATTCATTGGTGTACAAAAAGTCCACTGCAAGATATCCAGGATCAAAATGTTTTGAGCTCATGTTCTGCAATATCGCTATTATTATCTTAAGTCCCATCTGATTCAGTGTTGTATTTCTGTATAATCTTGTCATTTCAATTAGTGGATCTATGATTTGAGTGAGTGTATTTAATATTAGTTGCTGTTTCTGAGCCTCCAGGTGGCAGTGGCTTTATTGCAGTGGCATTTGTAACACCAGCAGTCTTGGAATCCTATGCAGGAAATAATAAAATTATTCTCACATCAATTGTTTTACAGTATAGCCTCACAAACACACATGTTCCACTCCTATTCCTTCATGTTATGTATATTAATCACATCCCGTTTCTTCATAGGATGTACATATTATCTTGAGCTCACTTGACAGTAAGAAACACATCATCTAAAAATAGTGTGTGAATAAATAAAACCGAAATACACTTAAACAAAGTAACTTGAAAAAGTTTTTGTCAGGAAATCAGAAAAAATAAAACAGTTGGTTATCATAGGTCACCCCCTGGGCAATAATGAGTAGGTTAATTTTTCACAACTCACTAGTAAGTGCAACACAGAGAGGAAACTCAATGTGTGATTTCAATATTGAGTATTCTGATTTACAAAACTAAAAACACTCCCAACAGTTAAGCCTTCATTGTAATTAGTAAGTGCTTAAGAGAAAGTAAATTCACATCACTGTATTCATAGTCATTTGAAACTTTAAAAATAAAAAGCAAAATTTAGGCATGAATGTGATAAATACAAACTTTTGTTTAAAGGAAATCAATTATGCTTAGTATTCACAAGTAATGCTATTGTAGTGAACTAAAAACAGTGATGTATGAATCTCAATTAATTTTACAACATGGCTGAATCATTTTTACTAAATTCTTTGTAATCTAAAGGAAAATGTGAGCAATATTATTTTGGTTTGTTTGTAACAGTATATTTTTCTTTAATCGCAGAACACAACCTCCACGAAAATTTCTAATTAAATTTGTAATTAAACATATGCACAGAATTGTACAACTATCACTGCTAATTTTGAACAAGTAGACACTCCAAAACAAACTCCATTCTTATTAGCAGTTGTACCACATTCTCTTATCCAGTCCCTGTGGAAACACCAGATATTAAGAGATCTCTCAGTTAAGAGAATCCTAAAATGAATAATTATCAGGGTCTTTATGTTCCTGGGTACTGGTTCATGGCATTCATATGTATAATGGACTAATATCTACCCCAAATTTATTTATTAATTTAGGAATCGTCATGGTATTGATGTCACACAGGTAAGTTAAAACAATGTTTCTTGGCTATATGTGCTTTATAATTTAGGGATGTTAGGTCAACCTTCTGTCTGTTTCTTTCACTGTAGCATGAGAAGTAACACTGTATAGTTGTTGAGATACTTAAGTGTAATAGTATGAGTAAGGCATCCTTCATAGTATCTGATGGCAAAAGTGCTCAATAAATACAGTTTTTTTTCTTTTTACTTACTAATTAGTAGTGGGAAATATGCCTTATATAAGAATTAAGTAGAACATCTTCTAAAATAAAGAAGAATTGTGAAGTTGATTGCCCTCCACTATGGGACCCAGCTGAAAACTAAATTAGCAACCACGTGTATCTTGGACAATCTAGGATGAGAGAAGCAAAAATCGTTCTTCAACTGGGTTTTCTGTGAGGTAGACATTGTATCTTTTCACCATAGAAGGAATATTTATAATAAGATGTTAAATATTATGCTTTTAATCCATCTGCTTACTAAATAGCAAATTACAGAGTATCATCTGCCTCTCTTTGTCTTAATTCTATGCACACCTTGAACCTTCTGCTAACATTTGACTTTAAGCTTTTTGTTCATTCATTCATTTATTGATTTACTCATGAAAAAATAATTACTTAATATGCCTGTTTCCAAGCACTGTGGAAGCAAGATGGCCTGTTCCTGTCTTCCATATATTTAAAGATGAATACAGTGGACTGGGTACAGCTGTAAAATGTGATGCTCTTCAAGATTAAACATGAGAAGGTTCCCAGTTCATGTCTGGAAATCCTCTGAAGTATCCCAGACATGCACATGCCCATGATCCAGGGCTTGCTGAGGTTGGAGGTGGATTATAGTGTCAAGGCTATTCTATCGTAACAATTCCCTAATGATTCTCTGTAAGACTTATATACAAAATATTTTATTGGCATAAAAGTATCTCATAAAATCTAGAATGTAGCATTTTACCAGTTTTAGTTATTTATATTATGAATGACTTTTTAATGACTGTTTTACTTAGATATAATTCACATGTCATAAAATTCACCCATTTTGAGTGTACAGATCCATTGTTTTTAAAACTATATTCAGAGTTGTACAACTCTCACTGCCGATTCTAAACATGTAGACACTCCAAAAAGAAACTCCATTCTTACTAGTAGTTGTACCACATTTTCTTGTTTGGTCCTTGTAGCTACGAAATGCATTTTGTGTTTCTGGATTTGGGCATTTTCCACATTTAATATAAATGTAATCATATAACATGTATCTTTTTTGTCACTGGCTTCTTTCACCAAGCATAATGTTTTGAAGTTTGTGATATTACGTCAGTATTTCATCCACTTGATTGGTGAATAATATTCTGTGTTTTGAAGGTGTCATGTTTTGTTTATTCATTCATCCTTTAGGGGCATTTGGGCTGTTTTCATTTTGTACCATTACGAATATTTCTGTGACCAGTAATCATGTACAATTTTATGTTTGCACACATTTTTACATTTCTATTGAGTATATACTAAAAGGAGTAAAATTACCGGATCATGTGATAACTACATGTTTAACATTTTGAGAAGTGTCAGGATACTTTACTAAGTGGCTCTATCATTTCACATTCCCACCACCCATGTGTGAGTTCCACTTTCTTTACATCTTCATCAACCTTTTTGTTTTCTGGTTTGGGGATGTTTTTTCTCTTATATAAGTTCCTCATGTTTTCTAGACACAAGTTTCTCATCAGATATTTGATTTTCAAGTATTTTCTAATTCTATTGCCTATTTTTTCACTTTCTTAATTGTATCCTTTGCAACACAAATATTTTAAATTTTTAATGAGATTTCATTTTCTTTTGTGTGCGTGTAGCTTGTGCTTTTGGTTTCATATCTAAGAAGTACTTTGCTAATCAAAAATCACGAATATTTTTTAAGTACCCTTTACTGAGCACAACTATTTCTCTCATTAAATTTTCCTGGCATTTTTGTAAAAAGTAAATTGGCCTTAAATGTAATACTATATTCCATTCTCTCAATTCTATTTATGTATGTATGCCTTTAAATGTCTATCCTTATATTACTATTATATTATCTTGATTTCTGTAACTTGGTAGTAAGCTTGGAAATAAAACATGAGTCTTCCAACTTTGTTTTTTTTTAAATATTTTATTTTCTTTTATACATTCAATCACTTTACATCAGCCTATAAAGTTAATTTCCCAGCATGAATAGGTAGTAAGTTTGGAAATAAGAAAACATGAGTCTTCCAACTTTGGTCTTTTTTTAAATATTTTATTTTCTTTTATACAATCACTTTACATCACTTAGCCTATAAAGTTAATTTCCCAGCATGAATACCTTTCGCACCAGTCCAGTTAGGAATGCTATTCACATTATCATCAACTGATAATAATCTATTTCTGTATCCCGTAAATGTCTTGCTTCTCTATTTTTCTCCTTAATGTCTTTCCTCACACTTTTTTTTTTTGCAA